CCTTGGTCACCGCCAAGGCTGCGCGTTCCCGCAGGACCCACTCCTGCTGCCGACGTGCCCCACGGGGACTCGTGTGTGACCTGGAGCACCTACTCACCGCGAGGCCTGTTCCAGTCCGAAAGGGACACCGTCCTCTCGTCACGGAGATGAGGTCAGGGTGCCACGGGCTCGGAGCCCGCCCCCCTCGTCACATCCCCTAAGAGAATTGTCACCAAGGCTACCGTGGGCGCCAACACCACCCTCCCTGGGGGCCACGCTAACATGGGCACCAACACCACTGTGGGTGCCATGCAGGCCCGGGAGGCTCAGCTGGGCTCGGGTTCCCACTGGCAGGGAGAGAGGGGTGCACCCACAGCCCTCTCTCCATGTTTGGTTACCCCTCAACTTGCAGTGGTTCTCAACCTGTGGGTCGCGACCCCTTTGGCGGTCGAACGACCCTTTCACAGGGGCCACCTAAGACCATCCTGCTTATCAGATATTTACATGACGATTCATCACAGTAACAACATGACAGTTATGAAGTAGCCACGAAAATACTTTTATGGTTGAGTCACAACATGAGGAACTGTATTTAAAGGGCCAGAAGGTTGAAAACCACTGACTTAGTGGCTTAAACAGTCTCATCATCTCTCATTGTTTCTGTGGGTCAGGAATTTGGGGAGAACTTGGCCAGGCAGCAATGCCTGGGGGTGTCCGGGCGGCTGCTCTTCAGAGGGTCCCCCGGGGGCTAGCCTGGGCGTCCCCACAGCACAGTGGCCACAGGCCCGTGGGAGGGGGATGTTGGGGACCAGCGAGGCTCCAGCAAACTCAACGGAAGTTGCCTTTTCTGCCCCCGCCTGGCAGGCCTGAGCCCCCTCCCAAACACACTGCCTCTGCAGGGGGGGCCGGAGGGCAGGACACAAGCTATTTTGGGGCCATTGGTCGGTGACGCAACCTGTCACAGATAACAACAGCTTTGAGCACCTGCCAATCTGCCACCTGTGACCTCACCACGTTCTCGCTCGGGCCTATTTAAAGGGCCAGAAGGTTGAAAACCACTGACTTAGTGGCTTAAACAGTCTCATCATCTCTCATTGTTTCTGTGGGTCAGGAATTTGGGGAGAACTTGGCCAGGCAGCAATGCCTGGGGGTGTCCGGGCGGCTGCTCTTCAGAGGGTCCCCCGGGGGCTAGCCTGGGCGTCCCCACAGCACAGTGGCCACAGGCCCGTGGGAGGGGGATGTTGGGGACCAGCGAGGCTCCAGCAAACTCAACGGAAGTTGCCTTTTCTGCCCCCGCCTGGCAGGCCTGAGGCCCCTCCCCAAACACACTGCCTCTGCAGGGGGGGCCGGACGGCAGGACACAAGCTATTTTGGGGCCATCGGTCGGTGACGCAACCTGTCACAGATAACAACAGCTTTGAGCACCTGCCAATCTGCCACCTGTGACCTCACCACGTTCTCGCTCGGGCCTGGGCAGCGGGCACCATCAGCCCGTTTCCCAGGTGAACAAGTCGCTCCCGCTAAAGGGGCGCAGCTGGAACCGCGGGAGCCCCACCCGCCAGGCCACACGCGGGAGGCTGCGCAGTGACGTCCAGAACGAGGGTGAGACACCCACCGTGGCTCCGAGCGCAGCTCCCGACCCGGCCCAACACACGCACAGAACCGAGCGGTCACCAGACAGCGGGCAGCTGCTCCGGGAAGGAGTCCG